AATATTAATGAAATGGAATCAGTATGAATAGAATGTAAAATTCCCACAATACATAAAAATATAATCCAAATGAATCTATTTTAAGCCTTGATTCTAAAAATCCAAGTCTAAATTTAGTAGACTTTGAATAAGATTTTTGTATCCAATTTAAACAATAATCGAGCATGTTTCATTGGTCTATTCAATGTTTATCCAATTAGTTCAATAATAAACATTAATTATTAGCATTCCCAGCAGAGCTGATTGTCAATGCATTGTTTTTACAACTACAAATTATAATTTGATTCATTGATTGAATTTACTTTGCTTTTAATCATAGCATTTTAACTAAAAAGATAGCTTTGCTTCTTCCTATATCCCATTAATCACATCATCACTCACCTTACTACACCTAGTATCTACTCAACTACCTTACCTACACTATCATGACTAGTCACGAACCTACTAACGAAGCCCAATCTCAGTCCCAAGTTGAATCTAAAATTGATACTCAATCTCAGGTAAATGAACAAACTGAAGCTCAAGATCAAGCTCAAGACATTCCCTCCGAAGAATTCAATCAAGATGAAAACCAATCACAAGAACAAGATGACAATGAAACTGAGCTTACCATTAGATCTTTGATATCCTCTAAAGATGCTGGTATTATTATTGGCAAAGGCGGATGTAACGTTGAAGAGCTTCGCAACCAATTAGGTGTCAAAGCCTCCGTATCCCGCTCATTCCCAGGTTTAGCTAACAGAATTTTATCCATTGGCGGTACTATTGATAGCATCACTAAGGTACCTTTAGCAATCTCTATTTGTTTTTTAATCTTATTTTTTTGTTATGTTTATAGGCTTATTCAGTAATTCTTACTCTCTTAAACAAAGAGAATAGTCAAGATCAGGAACAAACCAAATCTAAGCCTGAAACTTCATCTCTTAAGATTTTGATTTCTAACAATCTTATGGGTAATATTATCGGTAAACAAGGAACTACCATTAAGCGCATCCGTGATGTCTCAGGAGCTCGTATGATTGCTTCTAAAGAAATGCTTCCTCAAAGTACTGAAAGAATAATTGAAATCCAAGGTGAGGTTAAGAGTATCGGCTCTGCTCTTAAACAAATTCTCAGTAGTATGGCTGCTGATTGGAATCGCTATTCTGGAACTGTCCTCTTTAACCCTCAATTCTCTGAAATACCAGGATTACCCTCTAGCTACCTTCTTCCTGGACCTATTTATACCCCAGAATCTACCCTCAGTAAGCCATACAATGGTACTAGAGGCAACTCTTCTTCATATAACTCATCCCGTCCTGCTGCCACTGTTTTAGGCGGTAACCGTGATGCTTCTTCTGTAAATGGAACCTCCCATTTAATCACCCAAACAATGTCTATTCCCAAGGATATGGTTGGATGCATAATTGGCAAAGCTGGCTCTAAGATTTCTGAAATCCGCAGACTTTCTGGATCTCGTATTAGTATCTCTAAGGAAGATGAATCTCCCTCAGGAGAACGTACATTCACCATCCTTGGTACTGCTGAAGCTAATCAAAAGGCCCTTAACCTTTTATATGGACAAATGCAATTTGAATCTGAACGTAGACAAAAACTCTCTCAAGACTTGAAACCTAGAAATCGTCAAGCAGGAAATGGAAACTTAGGTCCTCAATTTGTTTAAAGAGTTAAGTGCTTAAAGGACATATACTATTGACTTTCCTACTAATGTTTATTTACATAACTTTACATTTTTGAATAGTATATCATTAGTTATAAATTTTAATATAAACAGTTGATTAATTGAAATTATAGCAATATTTACTTAAATTTTATTATAATATATATATATCCCTAAATTTCATTATCTATATCCTTAATTTAAATAAATATCATAACGTTTACCATATTTCCTATTACTCTTATATTTGATAAAAATTTGAAATCCTTGATTGAATAAAAGCATTAAATTTACTAAATTTAGGAGCATAGCTAACTCTTAATATAAGCTATCTTGACTAGTGATTATATAACTTATATACAATCAACCTCTCTACAAACTTTATTCACTATGCTTAAACACCATTTAGCGAGAATTGAATAACGAGGCTACAGAAAACATCCGCAATATAAGATATAAAAAGATAAATTTAACTTACAATTAACAAGTTTTTTTCTAATTAAATTCGACTTTAAATAAATTTAACCCAGTTTCCAATTAAGGAAATGAGCAATGAATTTTATACAAATAGATAATTTTGTTTACAAATTTCCAATTAAACTCTAGATTCACACCATCTTTACCTTTGTTTCGAGGTTGAAAGCCTTAATAGTGTGATTTTCTAGAGTGAGAGACAAATATTACTGTAGGAGAGTATTTTTAGCGATTATCAGAGTATTAAGATAGTAATCGCTTTAAAGGGTAAATGATATCATTATTAAATCTATCATGGCATTGTTGGAGCTAATGAGGATTTGTGTGTAATAAGCTTAGTCGCTAATTATCAGGTTTTTTAGTTTTTATGATCAGAATACACTCTATACCATATCTAGTTATCAATAAATGCAAAATTTTAAATAGTCATTAAAGCGCTGTATATTTGAGTTTATAAGGTTTCTTTTAAAAATTTGAATATATACAGTATCTATTGTAAGTATTTCCTTTCAGCAAATACACGTAACAAGTTTTTTTAAACTCATGCAGAAATCGGACCCAGGCTGCGCTGTAATTAAATGGCACTTTAACTTAATATTAAATAATATTTATTAACGCTTCAACTTGAAGAATCAGATCTGACATCATGGTAGTATCGGGATCCAGGATGCATTGTATAGAGTTATATTTTTATTCAAGATTTCATTAATCAAACTAATAATTGCTGATTAAATAATCAAAGCTGGTATTTGTTGGTTCGTTATTATCTATTTTTACTGAAGTAGTTTAAAAATGCTTGAATACGCTCATTAACCCATTAAAAATATAATGTGAGCTATAAATATAAGTAATATTTTGATTCAAATTGAAAAATATAAACCTGGCTATATATATCATAGACCTTATTTTTCCTAAGCTATATCAAATAGTCTAAATTTAATATTTCTGTGATAATTTACATAACAGTTTATGCAAAGGTGTGAAATTTAAAATATAAATTAATCCCATAAACTAAAAATTAAAATAAATAAGATTTATAGAATTTGAACTTAGATTTTTTATAATTATTATATAATTTGAATAATAAAATACATACAAAATGGCCAATCCAAGACAACGTAAAAAGCAAAAGAACCCTCAAATGAAAGCCAAGAAGATGAGGCAGACTAAAAAGCCTGCCATTCCAAACATTGATGTAATTAAGAATAATTGGGATAAAAAATTAACTTTACAGCAAAATTATGAAAAATTAGGACTTGCAGCTCGCTTAAATGGAGGTACCGATGGTAAAGGAAATAATTTTATCAACAGTTTACCTAGACCCGAGTTAACTGAAGAACAAATGGAAAATATGGACGCTAAAACTATTAGTAGAATTATGGGTCCAGGTTTTGGTGTTGTTGAAAGAGATGAGCAAGGGAATATTACTAAGGTAACAGTCGCCGATGATGATGATTTCTTAGATACACCACTTCCTCCTGCTCCTGCTAAAACCGATGTTGTCAGAGGTAATTTTTATTTTTATTTATTATTGGAATAATATTAATGTTTTTTGAATTTTAGAATTAGAAAAAATTGCTAGTAGGACATACGAAACACATAAGCATTACTCAGAAAATCAAATGAAGCATGCTGAAAAGTTAATTGCTAAACACGGATCCAATTATGAAGTACTATTATATCTTTATTTATTACAAATCAAATATTAATTAAATTTCTAGGCTATGTTTAGAGATATGAAATTAAATACTTGGCAAGAGACTGTAGGACAAATTAGAAAGAAGTGTGAAGCTTTTAACAAAATTCAACAGGAAAAGATTCAGCAAGCTTCAGCTCAAAATCAAGATGAATAATTAGCTTCTAACTTGCTTTAATTATAATTTTATATTACTGTCCATCATCTAATTATGTATTCTTTTAGACTAATAAAAATAGATTAATTCATTTTAAACTTTGTTATAGCAGATTTTTATCAATTTTATTTATAAGCTTATAAGTTATTATTAAAGATATGAGAGATTCTGGTTAATTCAACTCAACTTTGTGTGAACTCTGATCAAAATTTTAATTTTAGTATAAGCGAGTTAATATAATATATGGCTATTAAATAGAAGAGAAAACATCATAATGTAATATTAGAACGCTTTAATAAAAACGTTATACTATAAAAGAGTTTGTTTAATACGCCTTAATCATATAAATATCTAAGATATTATACTTGGCTGTTATAGTTTATAAACAGCTACTGTGTTCAAGATTAATTTAGTGCTTAACAAGAAATTAATATTATTATAAAAAAATTAAAAAAGTTATGTCTGAGTTATCAGAAGGGCTCGACTGGGAATCGAACCCAGGACCTCTCCCACCCTAAGGGAGAATTATACCACTAAACCATCGAGCCTTGCTATTCATCATAATTTCACTTAGAAAATAAAACATTTATATAAGTTACTGATTTCTACTCTTATTTTATCACAACTCTAATATTTATTTTTTGATTTATTATTTTATATTATCTCAAATTTTACATACCATACCCAGGTTTAACTTTAAATTTTATTTAATAATCATTGCATATCATTGTTTAGTTTTATATTATGATAAAATATATATTAAAAATTAATCTTCTTGTTAAATATGTATATATTTATATTTAAATTCTTCAAAAATAATTATTAAGTTGTTTTATCGACAGAAACAATAAACAACGAGATATAGCTGTGTCATAGTGTCCATTTTCTGCTATAGTAATTTTGATTCAAAATAACCATTTTTAAATTTTATCACATTTTAAATATTAAATAAATGTAATCAAAAAAACAAAAATCTTAATAATATTAGTAGGGAATCTGTTAAAAAGAGACGATCCGACCAACCGGAATTGAACCAGTGACCTAGAGATTACAGCTTAAACTACAGTCTCCCGCTCTACCATCTGAGCTATAGTCGGTTAATTTCAAAATTACACAATTGAATTAGAATTAATTAACAAGTTGATTTGTAATTCCCATAATTATTATTAATCTAAATTACCATGATTAATAACAAATTCCAAGTCTCTTTGTATTTCGTAATCATTAAATTTTACCTTTAATCCTTTTCATTAATATATAACAAACGCTATTTTTTCTATTTTTAACTAAAAATATTATGGTAAATTACAAAATATTATAAACCTAACCTTAGGTTCAATTTCACCAACTTCTACAACCCCCACGCCTACTTACAGCAAAGAATTATTAAAAAATCTAAAGGATTTGGCTCAAAGTTCAACTTCTATTACTGATAGTGAGGGTCGTTCTTACTTAGATCAGCTTGACCCTTCTGTACATACTAATACTTGGTTATCAATTTTGTAAACTATTTTATATTATTTTGCTATATTCAATATTAATTAATTTTTAGCTCTGCTTATTTCCGTTGGTTAGTCGAAACCAAGTCTGATGAGATTTATTCTAGTTTATATTTGTTAAAGCTGAGTATTCCAAAATTTGATATTGAGCAAATTTCTGTTTTACCAAATCTAAGTAACTTAAATTATAATTTAATTATTTTAGTATTAATTTGCTTTATTTCTAGTTGGTGATTTATCTACTCAGTTATCTAGTTTAGCTCTTAATAATAATTTAACTATTGAAGAGTTGCCTAATCAAGTAAGCTATTTAACTAAAATTATATACTCATTTATTTATTATTTTGTATTAGAAATTAGCTATATTGAAATTACTATTAAATTTAAAAACTAAAATACCAAGTCAAAGCTTATTAAATCCTATTCATTCTAATATTTTAAAGGTAATCAAATATTTATATTTGATAGGCTATAATATACTAATAATATTTATTAGATCTGTTTAAAAACCAAAGCTTACCACATTGGTTTAAAACTAATCCAAGAACACGCTTATCTCGACATCGAGGTCAAAGAATCCCCTATCCAAATCCAAGACTACTTAACTTTCCACTACTACGCTGCCCTAATTCACATCGGATACAAGAACTACCAGTCAGCATTAGAACACTTCATGTTAGTATTAATTGTACCCGGTAAAAGCGTATCACAAATTCAATTAGAATCTGTTAAAAAGGGAATTTTAATAGACTTACTTACCCTAAAAGACCAACAAGACGAGCGTTTTAAAAAGTTAATTCATAGGGCTTTAAATGATAATCAAAAGTATGCAGTTTTATATTCTCAATTTAAATCAGCAAATAACATTGATCAATGGAAGACCCATCTATTAAAGGATAAACAATTGTTTGAAAATGATAATAACTGGGGTTTATTACAACAGGTTACAAATGCTTATTTCCCTTCAAAAATTCTAGTATTAAAGGAGTTTAAATTATTAAGTTTTAGTCAACTTGGAGAGTACATTGGTATTAGATCTGTAGATGAAGTAGAAAGTATTTTAGTTGATTTAATTCAGTCTGGTAAATTAAATGCTAAAATCAGTTTTAATAAGCAATTAGGACCAAGTAATGGATTGGTAGAGTTTATGAATCATAAGTTGCCACCTAATGCTAGAGAGAGGTTTGATAAGTTGGTTGGAGAGATTGAAAATACTCTTGAATTAAATAAGATTTTACAACAAGCAGGTGTTACTGCCGGTGCTAATTTAAAGCGTACAAGTAATTTTGATAGCGATCCGGAAGTTTTAAGTCAGTTTAATTCAATGCTAGTTGATTAATTTATTAAATAAAAGCAATGGATATTAGTATTTAATTAAGTTTGGTTTCATATAAATTGAGTTTTGTTGTTTTATAAAATTATTTCATATAATACTTAAATTTTCCTAGCTTAAAAATCAAAATTCAAACTAAGAGGGTTAAATATAAAGCGCATTTTAATGTCATACTAGTAATAGAGAATAAAAACATAATAATAAATTATCTACCACTTATTGTTTGATTAATTTTAGTTTAGTAAATTCTATTACGGAGCTTTTTAATTTACTTCGAATAAATTTAATTTTTTAGCATTTTTAATTTCCGAAATTATATAGATTAAATGAGGTAAAATTGGTGAGTTTATCGCAATTTAGAGATTATTGGGTATATATATTACTCTTCTGTCTCATTATCCTCTAACTAATTATTTATTGGTATAATGCTGAGTTTTAGTATATTTATAATAAGTTATTTTAATTTAATCAGATGCCATATGGAAATGACCTCACCCGCTCCGCGGAAGTCTCAATTTCACTCAGCATACCTAAGTGAGCAAAATGTAGATTATGCAATGAACTCCCCATTAAACAACGGATTCCCTTACCCATGTCGAGGCTACACTCAAGGCGCTTCAGCTGGTACATACTCAGCAGGCTCAGCCATCCACGTTACAATAGCAGGAGAAGCTGCTCACAACGGAGGACATTGTCAATTTTCCTTGAGTTATGATAATGGTGAAAATTTTGTTGTTATTAAAGATGTAAGGAATAATTGTTTAATAGAGTCAGGGCTGGAATTTGATATTGTAATACCTCCAGGAGCACCATCATCAGATAATGTAGTATTTGCGTGGAGTTGGATTAATAAGACTGGAAACAGAGAGTATTATATGAATTGTGCGGATATTAAAGTTCAGGGAAGTAATAGAGGGAGGCTTACAGGCCCTAAGTTGTTAGTAGCTAATATTCCAGGTTATCCGTTGATTGATGAGTTTACGGTTGAGGGATCGGATGATGGTTGGCAATGGTTTGAAAATCGACCAAATTTAGAAGTTGGACCCGGGGGGAAAACGCGTGAAATTCAGAAATTTAGACAATCTGGACAGGGTAGACAGGGTTAATCTTAAAACATTGGCAAATGTGCCAGTTTACTAATTTAATAATTTATAAAGTATTTAATAATAATAAACCATTTAGTATATTTTTTAGCGTGGTATATTGGTTTTTTAAAATTTGACAATGGGTCATTGCTATATGAATATCAGGCCACGTAGTAAATTGTTTGTGAGGTTTTTTAATATGAAAAATCCTTATATTAAAGCCTTCAAATTTTATTGCACAACTTAAAGACAGTTTGACTAAAATCAGGCAATTTTTATTAATAATACGCGTATCCCAAATAACCTAACTAAAGTTTTGATTTCAAAATAACCAATCTTTAATGCTTTGACCATATTTAATGGAAGGAAAAGTTTTATAATATCATATTAACATGTGTATTATCAATTAAGTAAAAATTTGTGACTATTTGATACACTTTAAGAATATAAAAATAAAATATATTTACAAAAACTGCACCTATTAAAAATCTGAACAAAAATTTTGTCAGTTAACAGAAATCTTGCATATTTCTGAAAACTGATATTCTTATAAAGAAATGTCTATATTTGCAAATTTATTATTGCTAAAAGATTAATTTAGCTAAGTTTACTAGTCTTCAATTGTCAAATTAACCACATGATATAACTATAATCGTTGGTTTTATATATATAAAATAATAAACTCTATATTGAAAAAGTTCTTTTATTATAGATATACTAGTGTTATAATTATCTATTTAATATATTTTTTAATTTATCTAATAATAAAAGTCAAAAAGCCTTTAGTTAAGCTTGAATATAGAGTTATAAACATGAATACTTGATTGAATAGTTTTACATATTGTGCAATTTTTATAACTACACATATTTTATTTACTTTTATTTAATTCTATTACAATACTGTTACTATTTTACTTTATATATACAAAATTAGCTTTAATGCAGTCTCTCTGGCCTAGATCGAAGCTATTTAGCTTTAAACAATAAGCTAATACAAAAAAGAGAATAAAAATAGCAAATCAAAGGCTTGAGCGCTTAGAGTGTAAATTTTAGGTGGACTGTATGAATTTTTAGATATAACTAGTTTCCTAGATAATATAACTATGTGTAAACTAGAGAGGACTTTAATATATGCATTATCGAAATAAAGTACGATCGATTGATTTGGAATAAATAATTGGATCTGATTATATTATTATTGTGGATATTAATTAATAGTCGATCCAAAATTAATATAAGAATCAAATATATCAGCGTTTAGTAATCTGTCGGGATGCTGTCTTAGTATGCTTTAACTAAAGCCTGTAGTATATACTTCGCCAGATTGTTCTATTAATTTTCATTTGACTAGATAATTAACAAATAAATTAAAAATTTGACAGTCTCAAATAATTAATAAGCTTTTAAAAGTTCATTTGGATAAAATAAGCATATAAAGTGTAATCATTTACCTCAAATTTTAACTCGATTTTAATTAAACATTAAGATATCGCATATTTGGTAAAATCTAATTTAAGTTGAAAGGTATAAATAGAGATACAATCGCTGTTTTTTAATTTACTTTAATTAAATTCT